TGCATGAGTAATAAGGCTTCTTTTTATTTAGATAGGCTGCTAGGCATATGTATTGAACAAGCAGATAATAGTGCTGGTACTACTGGATGAGGGTAAATCACTCTAGCAACATGTTTTAATTTAAGGAAACTCTAAGCTCAAAGCATTATAACTATTAAATGCCCGTTATCAATCTGGGGAGCCTTTGCCTGGATTATATCTAATTATGTCAAATCTACTGTCATTTTGTGTGTGGACAAGTACGGGGGATGTACTGCATCAATTTGGTTCATGTAGCCAACCCCCACTTATGGGATTAAGGCTTTGATTGATTAATTAAGGTTGTGGAAGGTATATCATTTTGAAAGTGTAGATGATGATTAAGATATCTAGGCTCTTAAAGTAGTGTTTGGTCAAGTTTCTAGGAGTGGGGCCCTAAAGACCAGAAGGCAAAAGCTGAAAAACATTGGTTGGCCAGCAGGAAGGGGATGGAATTTGGTAGACAGAGAGACTGCAATGTTTAATACTACCTCCGTTAACTATTATTTGCAACAAAGGGGTATTATTTGTGAGATATAAAATATTCCTTTGTTGCAAATAATAGTTAACGGAGGTAGTATTATATACTTAGCTTGAATTGATTAAGATTACGGTTCTTTATTAAAGTCAAAACAATTATAAAAAAAAGTGTGCAAAATTGAGGATCGGGCCAAACTCACCAATCAGTTTCTATTTCTCAAATGCACTTCTAGGAGTTCTAGCCTTCTAGGATACAGTGCCAAACAACCTCAAGTTTTAATATAGGAACCCAAGCAGTTTCTGGAGAAGTGTTTTTAAGTTGTTCCACCCCCCTCCCCCCTATAAGCTTAGCCAAATGAATTGTAATTATGAGTTCTCCTCCCCCCTATAAGCTTAGCCAAATGAATTGTAATTATGATTTCTACCAGCTTCGTATTTTTGTGATAGTCTGAAAACATACTGAATTGATGAGTCAATCAAAGGAATCACCCAACTATCAATTATCAAGATATTCTTATTCTTTATTGCCAGTGTGTGTGCCTAACTTGTTATATATGTGAACCTATGCAAGAAGCCTTATCTATTTGCTTGAATCAATACCCAAAATGATATTCATGATGAAAGCATTGCAGATCACCTATCTAATCCGTAGCCATAATAAAGGCCACATTGTTTGAGGTCAAAGCTATCAAACCTCGTCTTTTTTTTTTAAATAAAGGTCAAAGCTATCAAACTTTTAAAAGTAGGCTATTTTAGATTTTTTGTCTTTTTTTTTTTTTTTTTTTGACAACTCAAAAAAAAAAAAAAAAAAAAAAAACAGATCAGAGGTTTTAAAAAAAAAAAGTTTTTGGTAGTCATTACTCCGTACATTTCATATTGACTTTCCCTGTGTGTTTTAAAGACATGTTCTTGTTGCAAATCTTTTGCCACTTTTGATAAATATTTCCTCAATGTATCCCTACATATGACCACTACCATCATTTATTAGAAGAGTGGCACATGGTGGTTACTCCAAATAGAATTCTAAAGGAGAGTATTACTAGAATTCTAGGAATGAGTTTAGCTTCTAGGGGTTGCATCGGTTTTTCCTCAGATTCCAAACATGAACACCTATATCACTATATGTAACAGAGGGAATAGTCAAAGTTGGATAACTGGTAATTTTAGAAAAGCTCCTTGAACACTAATATTTTATTAGTACTTCTTTATAGCTCAATAGTCAATACATATATTGATGCATTATATATTTCATAATTCAGGATACTAGGATTATATAACATGGGTACTTGGCTCCTTGACATTTGATTCAGCTCAAGATGGCTCATCTTGCTGGAAGTGTAGATGTGTAGTTCTTGTTAAACCATTTCATGTTTTATCTTCACCATAAGTATATACTATTAATAAAATCAATCAATTATACTTCGTATATAATTTTTCACACATTATGTTTCCATGGTTTGGTAGTTAATTCTGTTGGATAACTTTACTTCATTTCTAAACATTTGCATCTCATTTTAAAAATCTGTAGATTAAAAAAATAATAATAAAATTTGAGAAAGTTGGGCCTGCCTTAAAAGGCAAAGTTGATGGCTTTTTTTTGTTGAGATGGACAGTTTTTACCTGACATTCCATTACTTTTAGTAACTGTGACCATTTGTTTCATGCTCCGCGTTATTGCTTGATTTTTTATTTCTTCCAAATTTTATATTTTGGGAGTAGGGTGTAAGTCAGAGCCATCAAATTCTTTAACAGAATGAGTTTAGTGAACTAGGCATTTGTCTGTTCTGTTATCTTGACATCATTTCCTGATCTCGGCAATTGGCTACTCTACAACTGCAATATACCATATCGTACCAAAATCGCCAATGCCAGAAGAGATGTCTCATGTGTGTGTGTGTGTGCGCTTGTGTGTTGAGTGGGGTGGGGAGAGGGGTTATTCAGCAGATATAGATGTTTGCAACATTTTCCCTATAGTTGCAAAAATAAACTCAATGAGTGCAATAATAAATTATTGTACAACTTGGAACCTTTTTTTTTTTTAATAATTTTTTTTTAATCTAGATTTTGGAAAAAGGTCATTGCTACTAGACTAGCAAGTAGCTATTAAGCTCTTTTGAATTCGAAGTTTACCTTTGACTCCAGCTCAAGGGCTTAAGTGTACTTGTGAAGTTCCTGGTTTCAATCTAGACAAAACTGATGGAGTCCAAAGTCCAACCTTATGCCCAAAGTTATGAGAAAAACTATACAGTGTATATTATACTAAGTATACAATATTTTATTAATTTGTATTGTGTGTAGTGAAAATGATCTGTATCATCTAAGTGACTTGGTTACAACTCTTACAAGAACAGACTGCCAGTTTTTTTTGCAACATTTTACTTTTAATCCAATACATGATGAATTATTATGTCGTTATTATCAGAGCTCTTAGTAATATAGATCCTTCTGCATACTGCAGTTTATTGGGGCAAAGATGGGTGCATCAGGATTGCAAATACAAACAGAAAGTGGTCTAATCAGCATGCCAACTAATATCTGCTGTGTTGTTGTGGAATATCTTCCTGGAGGTGCCCTGAAGAATTACCTCATAAAGAACCGAAGAAAGAAGCTAGCTTTTAAGGTTGTCCACCAGTTGGCACTTGATCTTGCTAGAGGGTAATTATTTTTAACTCCCACATAAATTCTATAATGACAAATGTTTTGGCAAACTCATCCAACCTAATCCATTGTATTTCCAACAGGTTGAGCTATCTCCACTCTGAAAAGATTGTTCATAGAGATGTAAAGACAGAGAACATGCTACTAGATAAATCAAGGACTCTGAAAATAGCAGATTTCGGTGTTGCTCGGGTTGAGGCTTCAAATCCGAGTGATATGACTGGCGAAACAGGAACGCTTGGTTATATGGCCCCTGAGGTGAGTCTCTCACCTTACCAATTTCAATTTTGAGCAGCTTTGGGTTATGGGAGTTTGGGATGCAACTTAACTGTTTGCTCCGGTGCCTTTCCCTGGTTTTTGTATTCTACTATTTCTGTTTGCCCAAACAGTGGCTAAGCTTGATGATCACCTAAAATAACTCAATTCAATGACTATCTTTAGAAGGGAAAAGCTGGAATATTTATGTGTGCAGATTGTTTGTTTGGTGTTATTGTTGTACAAGCCCCAAATCAGAACAAATAAATACAGCTCTGACCAAGCTACCATTCCCAGAGATTGGGTTTTACTTTTTGTATTCTTTTTGTTATGTAATTTTGGAGTATTGTTGATTGATGGTTTACAAGATGAGCGATATTAGGGAAGAGTTCCTTTTTTATTCACCCAAATTCGTTTCTTTATTCTGTAACCTCTGATGGATAGAACAAAAACTGAGTAGAGCAGTGAACATTTAGATTGGGCGCTGTTAATGAAAGCAGCACTGAAGAGCCAAAAAGTCCCTAAAAAAAGATCTTCAACGACTAAAAGGCTTGAAAATTTGTGATGTATAACTAACAGCTTGTGACATTTATTTATTTCAGGTTCTAAATGGGGATCCATATAACAGAAAATGTGATGTGTATAGCTTTGGCATCTGTTTGTGGGAAATATATTGCTGCGACATGCCTTATCCCGACCTCAGTTTTTCAGAGGTGACTTCTGCAGTGGTTCGCCAGGTATGCATTATGATATTTTGCTTGTCATGAAAATTTAATCATGTTTCTCCCTTCTGCCCTTTTATTGGGTACTGATTTAGTTCGTCTTGGGATCCACAGAATCTAAGGCCAGAAATTCCAAGATGTTGCCCTAGTGCATTGGCTAATGTAATGAAGAAATGTTGGGATGCTAATCCCGATAGGCGCCCCGAAATGGATGAAGTAGTTTCCTTGTTGGAGGCGATTGACACATCGAAAGGTGGGGGAATGATCCCTGTTGATCAGCAGCAAAGTTGTTTCTGCTTCCAAAGACGTCGAGGACCTTAGACGATGGTGGCTTTTAAAACTTTTCGAAGCAACCAGACTATAATGTCTGGATTATTGATTATTGCTTTGGCTTTTGCGGGAGATACCATCCAACTTGTAATTATGGTGAAAAAGTAAAGGTAATGTGAGCATTTACAAATGGGAAAAACATTCTAATTATTGGTTGTTCCAATTTAAAAGTCTGCATTAGTTGTAGCCAGACTTGTAAATCAATTTCTCCAATTTCCAATTGTCACTCATTTTCCTCTTTTTTTACAGTTGCATATAATTACAATCTGTGAGGAGTTTGTAACTGGAATTCTAATCAAACACTCACAGGTCTCAACATTTCAAATTTAGAAAAATATTAAAACACAATCTATCTTAAATAACAAGAAGATTTTAAGGTGTTTTCCCCCCTCTGCCTTAGGAACAATTATACAAAGTTTTAAAATCGAAGTTCTCTACTTTGTACTAGAAAATTTTCTTTAAAAATACACGTATTATCTTTAAGTTTCACACTTTAAAATACAATTATACAAGGTTTTAAAAGTACTTTATACAAGGTTTTACTAACTTCTATTTTTACAAGCTTTTAAAATTTTAGTATCTTAATAATTTTAACATACTACCTACTTATGAGTTATGACCCTTAAGTTTGACGGACAAACCTCTTTACGGAGATTAAAATTTCCCAATTTATTATTGATTGAAAAAAAAAGAAAAATATATCATGATCAATTTCAAAAATTAAAAGGATAATACTTTTAAAAAAAATAGTGGTAAATTGGCTTGAGTAGTCTTTATATTTCCTTTACTTATCCAGCTTTGTAACCTTTTTTTTTTTTTCAAAGGCTTTGAATGAGGACAAAGGCCAGCCCAACTTTAAAAATATAATGCATCCTTTAACTTCTTTCTCGTTGTATCCTTAAAACATCTCATGCATAAATAACAAACGCTTGAATAATAAAAACAAAATTGATTACTAAAATAAATTGTATTGAAAACTTGCATAAATATAAATTTAAGAATTCACTAAAAGAACCTCTGCAAAACTCTTTCCTAATAAACTACTTGAAAAAAAAAATTGATAACACTAAACTTCTTCAATTGGCTTGCTGGGTGGGAGTTCAACTTGTGAAGGTTTCACTGCATCCAATTTGCTGGATTTTGGTGTGGTCTTGTAGTAAGTTCCATACAAGATTAGCTGAATTATGCCAGAAATTGCTCCCAAGCCATTAGGAACCTGCCATGATAATCGCAAAAGTAATTAATTATGGAATATAGTAATCATCGTGTATACTAATAAAATTTATGACTTTGAATGTTATCACCTATGGGGTATTACAAAATTTTAATAAAAACGAAAAATATAGGGTATTACAAAATTTTAATAAAAAACGAAGAAAAGCTAGTTACGTACCACCATCCAAAAATCGATGTGGATGAATGCATAAGCAGTCCAGCAAACACCATTTAAGAATCCCGCAAGAGTTAAAAAGAATGGCATGTATTCCACACTTTTAGTTCTCATCACTTTTCTCTGTAATTAAAAAGATCATGTATTAATCTCGTTTCATAAATCTTACATAAATTTTGAAATCTTATAAGATGGTTTAGAAAACGTACCATGACTGTCAATGGTGAAAAATACATAGAAACATTAAAGACGACACAGAAAGCTCCAACAAAGATGGTCCTCTTATCGGTGTTGTGGAATATAAATAATGTTAAAAGCACTACTGCCACAAATAAGACAACCTCCCCAAGCAAAACCCAAGCGATAAATTTCTGCAACAAACAAAAATGTTATAATACATTAATATTCACATTATATTCTATGTACAAATTATATAATCACATTACTAGTTCAAATTCATGATGTTAATCGAATGGAAAAAGAAATATACAAAGTATTACCCTTTTAGAATTAGAGGCATAAGTGAGAAAGATGGCAAGGTAAATGAGCTCAATGCCCAACCCAATGCCATTGATAGTAGTAACAAGGATGTTATTTGGATGGACAAAGGGAAGACCATAAAGACACCAAAATAAACAGTTTATGACCGTGCATAGGTATGGATCCGGTTTGAACTCTTCCACGGACTTGTTCTTGATAATTCTCAAAAATGTAGGTCTGTAATTAGTAATTCAAACACATATAAATATTATACAAGTATAATAAAATTTTGACGAAAAAAAAGTTTTAAAATTAATTAAGATCTAATTTACACTGTGAGTTTTTGAAGTGTGAAACATAAATACTTACACAGGAGAAAGGAACAATCCAAAAGAGATGACATTTCCTGTAACACAAAGTAGATAAATGTTGTTGCATTTAATTAAGTGAAACACAATAATTTGGTAAAAAAAAAAATAAAAAAATCAAGTAATATTTGTATAATTGTTGAATGAAATATAAGGCAAAAAGGTAAGTAATTATATGTACCTATAATTCCAAGGGTGTTTCTGATTGCGTTAGGGCTCACCATGTTGTTGTAATTTCAGCACTTACTCTGAATCAAAATCACAATTAGAGAGGATTTTATGATACAAAAAAAAAAAGGGTTCAATTGTATTTATTTCACTTTTGTGAATTAGAAAATATCAATTAATTTGAGCCTTTTCACGTATCAAGCAATAAATCATAGAATTGATTATGGTAAAACTGATAAGATCAGTGAATTAAAAGTGAATTATGACTCTGCAATGTATCTAATAAAGAACTTATTTGGGTTATGTTTGTGAGTGATTAATGGGGTAGGCAGTTAAGTGAAGATTATACTCCGTAGCAGGAATTAGTAGGAAAATTATTAATTAAAATAGGTTAATGTAAATATTTAATCTTGGGATCCGTTAAGTACACGAGGTAGCATAGCCACTTGTTATTCTCTTTAAATTCAAGTATAGTGGCTTTTTCATCGGATTGTACCAGGTATTACTAGACAAGTATCACTCAAACATAATTATAAATTACAATTGTTTTTAAGAAAGAAAATAGGAAAAAAATAAATCTTTCTGATTATGAACAAGTCAAATTCGTCCAATTTCAAGTTTCAATTAGGTCAAGTTAATAAGAATTAAGAATAATAAATTAATACAAACCAATTCTTTTTAATGGATATATGTTTCTTTAAAGGCGAAACAAGATAAACCAATTCTTTTTAATTGTACTAATTACTCGTGATTCCTCTTTGTATCATTAATTCATAAAATCATAACTACATTGCATTAAAAAAAACACATAATTCATAATATTATTTTTGTAACAGATAAACAAATGTTATGATGATTATCCTATGTGAAAGAATCAAATTAAAAACAAAATTACCAAGATTAATTACATGAATATGCTTTTACTTGCACACAAACCGCAAACTACATCATAATTTTCTTACGTTGATAGCATGAAAAATCCATTAGTGTAGTCTTTTTAAGGTCAAACTCAAATATAGTTTTTTTTATGAAGGATTGAGAGAAAAAACTACAATTTGTAATTACAATATTGAAACAAGAAAACATAATTCTTACTAAGGATTAAGAGGAAATACTACACTACATAATAACTAATACGGAGTAACTAATAACATTATCGAAAGTTCTAAGTGATGAAGAACAAAAAGAGAAGTTGCAATTACATAATTTGAACGAGAGAAAAGAGAGCTTACTAGATTCTACGAATTGTTTTTTGAGAATTTCTGAATTTCGAAGTATGAAATTTTTTGTGTTTAGATTATGGACTTATGGTTGATGGATATTAAGTATTTATAGGGCTTTGGATGACACAATTTTGGTGAAGTTAATTTGTTTTACAAGTCATACCTAAGTTAAATTGGCTTAGGAAAACACGTTTTATATTGCAAATCAAATTACCTTAATTATCTGGTATTGAAACAGATTCTTTTTATAAATTGTAATAATTGGTTAAATTCGTATGATGATATTTATTTTCATTCTAAAATAGGATAATTATTATTCTTTCCAGTTTAGGATTATGCTATCCAATCAAATACAACTTCTTGGCGGATTAGTTTGTTGGCGTGGAGATATTGTTTGGCTTTAATAATTTTAATTTTAATTTTATAAATATGGAAATTTTGGTTTTCTTAAAAAAATATCATATAAACTAAGACAAATTATCCTAATCAACTTTGTTTGAACTTTTTTTAATTTTTATTTATTTTCTAACATGAAATCTTAATGGTGTATGAGAAGTTTATGATAATATATTTTTATCATTGTATTTGTAAAATTTAATTTTTATTTGAAGTCACTTTTTTTTTTTTATCCGAATGAACTTGTATACCTAAATTCTTATGATGCTATATTCGTAATTCTAGTAATTTGTGTCAATAGTTCCTTTCAAACGAATAATAAGAACCAAATTATTAGGGTACTCCTAATAAAATAAGATAAATTCATACAAAATATAAGTTAAATTTAAAGTAATTATTTTAATAATGCAAAACTCAAATAACTTGAACATAATACATGGTTTAACGTCAAGTCAATAACATATCAAGGTTTGGTCAATAATTAAGTCTTCGAGTCATCCATTTCTATGATTGTACATTACACTTTTTTTTTTTTACTTTTTTTTTCTGGAAAACATACACTATCTATTTATACCTTTTCCCTTTAATTATGAACTGCCAAAATTATTTGAGTTTTAATTTTAGTTTTTTTTCGTTGTCAAGGCAAGTAACGCCTTAATCAATTTAAATTTTGCACAGTAACATTTTTATATAGGGGGCCATAAATATTTATTGTAATTATAATTCATAACAGTTGATTACTCGGTATTAATTTTTTCTTTATACTCCGTGTTATTATTATTCCCTATACCGTCTTCAAACAGAAAATTAATTAATTAATTAAGATCTTTACCAATTAAGTAGGGCAAGTAAATAGTCAATCCGTGGCCCTTCAATAGAACTCTACAAATGGAAGGTCAAGATTTTCGTAATTCAAGAAGACATATCTTATCCTTAACTTGTTGATCAAGGGAGGTCAATGATTTATTGCTTCTTTATCCTAATTACGATGTAATTAGCTAACAATTTCATGAGCTGTCGTTATTAATTTTGTAAATAGTCTATGTTAATTGATTTTGTATTATGCTAGCAATTGATAGCTTTCCATATTAAATTCTCCATACAAAGTATATCTATTACTTATCCTATATTCCTATCCTATCTTTTTTATTTTTTTTGGGAAATTATCAATGGTACACCAACTTAGTTTTTGTTTATCAGCGGTACACCCAAGGTTTAATACACTTATCTATAGTAACTCTAACGTTAATCAAACGTTAATTAAAGGTTAATAATAGGTTAATCCACTTAAAATGAAATGACTAATTTGCCCCCCTACTCCAAATACATTAAATCGCTCCTTTCAAACCTCAACTACCTATATTAAAAACTCCTAAGTCAGAAGATCGTTCATCTTCTTCTTCCTTCTCACTCTCTCCCCTGTATCTGCTGTTGTGAGGTTCCATAATCGACGGGCGAATTGAACAAAATTCTAGCAAATTCTACACTTCATTGTTGACCGCTTAAGGCAAGTTTTCATCCGAGTCTTTGATTTTCTGACTTTCGCTTGTTTTGGTAGTATATGAATTTTTTGTTTAAATGTTGAATTTTGGTTTCCATGTACAATTGTTAGCGAATTATGGTTTAAATTATGCGCAATGTGCCTGTGATTATTATTTGTTGCTTTACTGTTGTATTTTTTGCACAAATAATTCGAATTGGGTGTGTTTGAGTAGATATATGTATATTTATGTGTGAAAAGGGAAAATCAGAAATGAGGGAAACTACATATAGAGGAAGAGGGGGTGGGTAGGGTAGAGTACATAAAGGAAGGAAAATGAAGAGGGGGAAAAAAGGGAGGGAATTTTTTAAGTTAAAAAAATCGAATTAAACCCCAACTTAACTTTTACTTAACGTTTGTTTAACGTTAAGTGTATAGTTGATAATCGTGTGAAACCTTGGGTGTACCGTTGATTAATAAAAACTAAGTTAGTGTACCATTGATAAAAGCCCGAACCTTGGGTGTACCATTGATAATTTCCCTTTTTTTATTATTATATTTAATTAATTATTAATTTTAGATTTTTGTTTGAGGAAACTAGGGAGAAGGAGTTATATGACAAAAATATTTGAGGGTACATTGGTAATTTTGTGATTTTAAAGATCTTGGGAAAAACAAATGGGTTATTTTTTTTAGGACTAAAATTAGGCCAAATGCGTTGTTATTTCAGGGATGGAGTGAGTACATACCTTACTAATAGTAATTGACCACTAATAATTTGTTTCCAATTTTGTTATAAATGTAAGATTTTTTATTTTATTTTTAATTAATATTCCGTGTATGGAATAAGAAGATAGGAACACACATATCATAGGATGATAGGAGTATCTATTATAAGTATTACAAAGTTAGTATCTTTCATATTCATATAGTCATCATCCATCTTGGGATTATATCTTGCTCTTTTTAGGTTTTGGGATTATTAGATTATTACTCTGTAACTTTTTTTTTTTTTTTTTTTTTTGAAGGAAATTGGATCAACTAATGACTTTAAAAGCCTTATTTAATTTCTTCAAAAAAATAAAGTTTTATTCTTCTTGATTTTTTCCCAAGGATTCCTTCTAGCTGGATATTATGAGTCGTGACTCGTGAGCTTTTAAATGTTGATTTGATGGCCCTCTTGAGATGGTGTTTATGAATATGCTAATACACTAATACACATCAATTTGGATATTGCATTTTATTTAATTTTTGAGAAAAGAATATGCAAATTAATCATCCTTAAATTTGTTCTCCGTTACTAGTGCTCCATTTATATAATCATTCCTTTTGTTGTTGATGATACATAATGCAAAAAATAAAAAACCCTTATCTTCGCGTATGACTCTAATTCCTCACCCTCAAGTACATATGTAAGTAATTTCCGAAGTTTTTCATTTAGGATGGTTCGTGTAGTCTATGGTACCAAACCGTGCATAAAAATTTCTTGTTTTAGAAAAGATGTTCATATAATTATATAAATGACTTATTTGATGGTTTGTGTTTGAATGAAATTATTGATCCAACGTAGCAAAAGATAAATCAAGCTTTCATATTATTATCTTGCAAGTTGGTAAGTTGACATTTTTGCCTAGGACAAATTGTGTAAAAGTTATTTTGAGGAATGATAATGATTATTTAATAGCCCCCTTTCATCTCATTCATCAGAGAAAATGATAATGATGTTGATCAAGCAACTCAATATATGCTTTATACGCGTCGTTACATTATTATTTTAAGCAAAAAGATGGTGACAATATCCTTTACCAATAGCTGGCCATCAATTGCCTTTTTCCTTTTGAGTGTAGTGCTTCTTGTTAGATTAATCAAGTTTGGTTATCTTAGTTAGAGCCCTTTTTCCTTCTTTGGAAATTAAATTCAAATGAAATTGAAATCTAAATTTTCTATTAAAAGTTATATGATTTTACATACTTTACGACATTTTAATTAATTATATAAGAAGAATTTTTATACTTTATGACAATTTATTGAAGTATATATGTTTTTCAAATTAATGTATTATCTATGACATTTTAATTAATCAATAGATATTCCTAAAACAAACAATAGATAAATTTAGTAAATAGGACAATTTCATGATTATTTTAATACCATTTTAATTCCGGAGTTATATTTCAAGTCAACTATTTTTGGATGATAGAAAATGTGTCGTCAGTTTAAATTTTTAAAAAATTAATACAAATTAAAATACAAGTAATGTGTTTCTAATTCAAATGTAAACATTTTTCTTAATCTCAATATCAAAAGCAGACATTATATTGTGGGACGAGTGGACATTACCTGTTTGGTAGTTTACATAAGATTTTCACAAGAAGTAAATTCGTACTTGGACACTACTTGGACCGTAGTACTTATAAAATCAATAATTTATTCACACTATCATTAAAAACAAGTCTAATTGGTGATTCTAAATAAGTGCATTAAAGAATATATATAAGCACCAAATAAAGAATTTAGTTCCACGTCAAGTGGACCACCTTTTAGATTTCTACTCTTCCTACAAATATATTATGTCATTAGCCTACAAAAATCACATCTAAAACATTCTCATTTTTCATCCCTCTTTCATCGATTCTCTCGATTTATATTAGCCACCTCTCAAAAAGAAAAAACAAGAAAAAAAAAACAACAAAAAACCCTTCCTTTATGCTTCCATTTTTATTCATTCTTCCTTCCTAAAAACAAAACAAAACCCAATTAGAAGAACAATTATGATGCATAAATATGATTATTTCATCAAATCTTGGAGAATTAGGAGGGAAATCAATCAAATTAAACAAATTTTGGGTGAAATTTGACCGAGGAGAGATTATCATAAATCATCAAAGACCATCATGAATGATCATATTTGAAGCCCTCCTCAAATTTTTATTTGGTAAATCCTGTTTTGACAAAGACAGAATATAGGACATATATGGTAATGGAGATTATCATATCTGTATTCTTGTTATTTTGTGGAATTGCAATTTTGGTAATAATCCATATTTGTATTGTTGGGAGGGCATTTAGTAGAGGTTTTGGAGCAGATGGTGTCCCTTACATTAAGGGTGCAGGCATGACTCTGCAAGACCTTAAGAAACTGCCGTGTTTCGAGTACAGCAAACAACAGACAGTTTCAGAGAAAGAAACTTCTGCTGCTGCTGCTGCTGCTTGTGAGGCTGCGGCTGCTGCTACTGAGGCTGCTAATACTGATGCTGCAATCCTTGATTGCGCGGTTTGTTTAGACAGTTTCGAGGTTGGTGATTACTGCAGAAGTCTGCCTAATTGTCACCATTACTTTCATGTTCAGTGTGTTGATGTTTGGCTTACTAAATCACCATTCTGTCCGGTTTGTCGAACCTGCACTGTCATCAAGCTGTCGCCTAAAGTTGTCTCCAGTGTAGGCGATGCAGGACGCAATGCTACATCACCCAATGTCGCGGTTGATCTGTGTTAGGTACAAGTGTGAGTATGTTTGTCGCACATTCAAAGTTGCAGACGAAAGCCTCTTAGTTAGGCTTTGTCTGCTGGGTTATCTCTCTATTCATAAACAATTGGTGTAATAATAAAGTTGTAGTATTAGATTTCATGTTTTGTTATTGTATGTCTAGTTTAAAATTCACAGGCTTGTAAATTTATTTGGTTGGGATGAGGATATTGTTAGCCTGATGATACTTGTACATATAGGTTGTCTTTGTATGGCATTATATGCTGCTATGAGTTATGCATCCAATTCGGGTTTTTTAGCGAGTATTTCAGCCAAAAATTCCTTGTATAAATCCTACTAGGGCCGGGGCAGAGTTTAGTTAGTGAGGTTCAGATGTACACAATTAGAGACTAGAGCGGCGTTTTTCTTTCAATATATGATGGACTACCTAGTTCTCCCTAGTCTTTAAAAATCGAAAGTCTAGTATATAACTAATTAGTATGCAAATAGCAACATTACATGTAACATGATACATCAATTTCTTATTTAGTGACCTTATACTAAAATTGGGTGATAAGATATTTCTTCACATTGATTGGTTATGTTCTTGAAAATGGCTCTAGCTAAATGGAATTTTGTAAGCGTTCCAAACAACATAGAAAAATAGCTGTACAAGCCAATTAACAGGACAAATCTTGCAGCTGGTCCTCTTGATGATATAGAATTGAGTGCTTTAATTTGCAGATATTTTTCTTTATGATTAAGATATCGATAAGATGGATCTTTTCATCTTTTGATGAGTCATGTGTTAGTCATATGGGTCCCAACAATGCTATTAAAAACTGTTTTACAAACGTGTAGTAACAATCTCAATTAGGACAAGTGTATCATTTCTTGCACATTCTTACCATTGTTGAATTGATAATGTAATAAAAATAGTCTTGTAAGGTGACTACTATATTCAAATCCAGGTAGCACCTTATTTGCAGGAAGACTTGCGTGGACCTGATCCACAATATATTATTGTGGACCCGAGTTTTATACACACGCAACTGACATGGTATTGAACATAGTTACCCTTATTTTTAACATAGTAACCTTATTTTTAATATAGTAACCTTTATTAAAACTTGTATAACATTTAACATTATTATGAACTTGAAGTACGACGTTATAACCCTAATTTTAACATAGTGGCCTTTATTATTTATATTGACTATATAAAATATTACATTAAAAAAATTAACCTCTTATAACTTATATATTACTAAAATGACTTTTATTTCATCATAATGACCTTTTTTTTTATTATAGTGAAAATAAAAAAACCTTAGTTTCTCCAATATTAGTGGTCCACAATAAATTAGTGTGAACCAGGTCCAATTGAGAATTTGTACCTTATTTGACACTTGTAGTTTTATGCTTCTGTAATAGTTTGAAGTTTGCTACCAAAATTTAGCTTCACTCAAAATAGAAATCACCGTCGATTATATATACCCATTTTTGACTATGAATATACCTAAACACCCAAAGATATTCACGGGTATCAAAGATTTGATTTTAATGATTCTTCTAATCTCAATTACCATGCATGGAAAGATCGACAACTCGTTCAATTATTATATTCACAAGTTACCTGTAAAATTGAATATTATTCACATATATCATTGCTCTTTTTGAAGAAAAAAAAAACGATATAATAAGCCCTAATATCTACATATACAGAGCTAAAATTGGAAATAATAAATGAAACAAAACATTAATACAATGATCAACCTAAATGTTTATTAGCTAGGTACATACATTATTACCCGAAAAACAAATATTATGACCTTATCAATAATTGAAAGGGTCGTAATTAGCAAATTTTTTAAATAGTAATGGGCACATATAATGGTGGAGTTGGAACAATCATTTATCTGTCCTTTTGTTTTTCTTCTTAAGGCTCGTGGTGTCATTTCATATTATTAGCTTTCAAAATCAAAACGAGGACTTTTGAAGTTGGGGGTCGTAACAAGTACTTCCTGAAAAGAAAAGCTACTCAGCAAAATCAGGCGAAAATACTGAAAAACAAGTTGATATTAAGTCCGAATGAAGAAGCCACAAACAAAGGTATTGAAACTTGAAAGCATTGTCTAAACTAGCTTGTAAAGTGGCCAAAAGCCAGAAATTGATAAAGTAACAGCTAAAAAAATATATACATAAATATATCGCGTACTAAATTGAAAAATACAGAGTACTGTATTATCTTGAATCTGTTTAACTTTCAAAATCTATATTCTATAACAGCAAGTTAAAATTTTGTACAGGTAAGGAGAAGCTACATTACCATGTTTCCTGCATAATCTTTTCAAAATTCAATCTACTGAACCATATTAATTGTAATGAAAAAAAAAATAGTCAAACCCATAATAAAAAACTTCATGAATATTTTTAGGAAAATATATGGTCAACGCATAGTATCAATGTAGAATATTGAAAAGCAAAAGCTGAAAGCCTAACCAAACACTGTCGAATAATATACAGTACAAAGGAAACAGGTTCAACTAATCATAATGGTCCATAGAATCCATAGATGCTCCTAAGATACCAACTAAAAGTTTATCATGACCAACTACCTTCTTCAATTTCCATTTCCATTAATAGAATTTCACATCGCCCGTAATAGAAAATTTGAAACATTTGGAAAACTACGACAGGGATAAAAGGCATCTCAACTGGAATTTCGAGAAAGATGATAATTGGATTGAAAGTAACCAATAGCCATCAGCAACTGATTCATTTCTTTTCAGCAACATTACTCTCAAGCTCCCTCCTTAGCTGCAGAGAGAAGTCATCGTTGACGTCATCATCATCCCAATCGTCTTCCCACTGCTGTGTCACCTCCTTGCCTTCTTCCTTGCTGTCCCACTCTGTAGGAGTAATAAATAATTAATTGTGAAACAAAGCAAGTATAAATCCACATTGAAAGCATAAATTATCCATTTGCAAGGTTACAATTGATTTTATCCTCATCTATCTAAATTCAAAGAAAGTTATCCAGACATGTTGAATCACAGTACAGACTGGATGAATTCGACAGTTAAGCCTTAAGAGGTGGAGACAATTGTGCAAATACAGATTACAAGTCCTCAGTCTATGGAATCCCTGTGTCCATCACATTCTCCCAAGTTCAGATGCAAAGCTCACTCTACTGCTTACTGAGAACTGCAAAAGTACTGATTCTCTCTTAGATATAATACCAACTCTGTGTAACCTCAGCACCAGCATAAAAGCATGTGCTCCAAAGATGATGGTAAAGAGAATGCAAATGTTACATACAAATGACAAAAATTAGAGACTCCATCTATTATATTGCAAGATCGAGTTCGATAAGGTCTTAATAGCTACAAAATAGTCGAGATGCAACTAGCCAATAAAATCAATAAAATGAGTGTGTAACCAGATACGGACATTTGGCAATGGATGACACCTAGCTTCTTGCTACTTCCATACTCAACTATCGTTAAACGTATCAAAAATGCTTATTCTCACTCACCCAATAATCAAACCATTTTGGTAAAATGTATGTTTTCTTTAGTTTCTCTACCAGGCCCCACAAATTACAATGAAATTCTCTTGGAGTGGATGGACTCTTGTTAGCATAAGCTACATAATCTTGTCAAAGTAAACAATAATAAACCAGAGTCGGGCATTTTGGTGATGGATGCACACCTAAACTTGACATAATCTAGTTAAATTTATCCAACATGCTTATTCTCACTCAACCCAAAATCGAACTATTTTGGTAAAATGTATGTTTTCTTTAGTTTCTCTACAGGGCCTAGCAAACTACAATGAAATTCACTCAGTGTGGGTTATCCAATAGATCTCATTATAGCAAGCTATCCTAATGAACATTAAATATCCTTCTTTGAAAAAAAAAAAAAAAACTCCTTTTTCTCTATGGAAGGCTGCTGAAGATAATATTTACGGAAAAATCAATATAGACACACTTCTCAACTCCCAGAAGCTTCAAGAAAGAAAGGAAAAAAAAAACCAAATATAATATGTATTCCTCCAACGCACAACAGCAGTAAATTTGGATACAAAAAGGGGGAGGAAAAGAAGAGCAGGGAGAGGAAGGGATGGGGTGGGGTGGGAAGGGAAGACTGACAAGTTACCAAATGAAAGATAATCCATCCCCTTCATTTCCCCTCTCTTCCTTTCCCTCTATTTCCTTCAATCCAAACAAAGTGTAAAGGTCAAGATAGAAGTTTGAAGGGTGATTTAAGTAATCAGGAAAAAATGGGAGACAAATTTTTGTGTTTCCTCTTTTCCTTTGCTATTCTTAGGAGACATGGGGTTACAAAGGAAGCTTTGCCACACAATGACACAAAAACAGCTGCGGTGGCTTGAGGAGTGAACCTCCTAGAATTAAGCTCCTCAAAGTTAGGCATGCCACAGGCAAGCCTTCAAAATCAAGGGAGAGGAGGGGTCTAAGATTCATATATATATATATACCCTCTATCCCACAAGGTATAAACAGCATCAGCATTTGTTATCATAGAAAGAACTCATAACCATTTATTCAGTGCAACTATCTATACAAGTAGAAAATGGTGAAAAAGGAGGAAAGGATAGATGGGGACTATCGTCAATTAGGGGTTGATTGGTTGGATCATTTGGAATGGAGTTAGAATCAATTCCATCTATTTTTTTGGTTTGGTGGAGCTTTTTAACTGTGAAATCTCATACCCAAGGGGTTTTAACTTTTCTTAACGAAGTATATAACCTATTCCAACAATAAAACCAAACAACTTCAACAGGTCACCAGCCGATTAAGTAATTTCTTAGACCACTAGAGGTTGATAGTCAAAACTCAAAAACAGCTAAAATACTAGTAGGCTCAATAGACAACCAACCGAAAATTCTTATATCCCAACTCATAAAAAACTCAATTTAGCCTGCAATTGACTCGCTTCACATGGATATTGGTCTGTCAGACAGGTATATAAGTCATCAATGGTTCGATTGTCTTAATTTCAAAATCCTCAACATCAGAGTTGCATCCTGTTTAAAGGTTCAACACATACTTCGCTATTACCTCTCAAAGACAAGAGCATGACAGGGGGTCGCCAACCTATCCAAGGCCATTTGTGGTGGAAACAGCTAACAGACTACGTGGTGTACTCTCCTTATACACACCTTTTCAATTACCAGCCAAACCATCTTCAAAACTTCTTTTAAGCGATAAAGTAGCTTAAGATTCTAGAGACTAAGAACATAATGCATCCGACCTCCAACAGAAATGGAGGTTATTATCAATCTAAACATGGTGTTCACTGCTTAAAGCTGTATGCAACGTTCCTAAACTCATACAAGTAATAATCAGAGTAATAGAGGATTTTATAACCACATTACAATTACAGAAAATTGAGCATCTCGAATAAAGTAATAAGATTAACTTGCATTTCAATTCAAAAATGGACAGAAATCACAACTTTTTCCTCAAATCGAGATTAAAATACATGCATATACTAAATTATGATCAAAGAGACAACCATAAACCCTAGAATTCAACAACTTAAAAAAAATAAATAAAAATAACAGCTTAAATCAAAACCTAGCAAATTGTACCACATTTCACAATTCAATGAAATCAAATTGCAGCGAAGAAAAAATAAGCTAAAAATCAAAATAACGAAGACAATAGTTTCAAAATTATTACCAAGATCGATTTCGAACTCCTCAAATTCATCATCGTCTTCAAACAGATCCATCTTAGCTTCTTCAGAAACTGGTTTAGCCTCGTTCGTCGCCATCACCTAAAATGTTCAATCTCAACACACTGTAAAAACCCTAATTTTCGGAAAACATGGCTCAAAATTCAATCAACAAAAACGCAATTGATATTCTTATAATAAGAAGAAATTGAAGATAAAGAAGGAAAAAAGCGGCCAAATTACTCACCAGAAACAAATTAGGGAAGAACTGAAGATTTGGAGCGAAGAGAGAAATATTTGTAGAAGCAAAACACTTGTGATTTTAAAGCGGGAACTAGAAAGAACTCAAGAAGTAGTATAGACTAGAAAGCAAGAAAAGGATCTTGGTTAGTCAATCACAATTATTGGGCCTACTTCGGCCTAGTGGCTTGTAGAATTTGTGATTTGGGTTGTGGCCTCTCTTTGATATATTTATGGAAGCATAGTATTTTTTTTGAGTTTGCCCCACCCGGTTCACTGGAGTTTAGCTCTGACTACTTTTAGATTTAATTCGGGTTGCACACCTGATTTACGATGGGTGAGTCATTCAACAAGAGTTTTCAGCATTCGGTGAGGCTCGAATTCGAGACCTCTTTTAATCGACATCAAGATGTTTACCACTTGAATCAACTCCTATTGGTTATGAAAGCTTAGTAGCCAAAAAGTTTCGAGTTTAACAAAAAAAAAAAAAAAAAAAAGGCTTCAAAGAACGCCATTGTACAATGGATTGTACCCTTTAAAGACAAAAAAGTTTTTTTTAAGGCAATATGTGTGTAAGATACAAGCACAAAAGTTGATAAATGACAAAGTAATGCCGGTTGTACATAAGAAATTGTTAAATGATACGAATATATACAGTGATAGAAAATCTTGGGATACGGAGAGAATTCGACTCCTACAGAAAAAAAGAGGGGTTGGGAAATTTTGAAGAAAGTTACCAACACTAAAATATTTTAAGGTTTGGGTTGTGCCACTTATGATTTATTAAGATTGTAATGGATTTTTCCCCCTCATAATAGAAAGTATTCTCTTAATAAGAAAAACGAAGAAGATGCATACAAATGAGGGTATTTTTCTGTAAAGAGTAAAGACTAATCTCTAACTAATTGAAACATAAAGTTACTACCTAAAATGCACAAAACACCTTAAAAAGCAACATAGTCGGATTGTGATTAGCTTATCACATATTGTTTGTATGTTGTTAGAACTTCCTCTATCAATAAGAAAATCATACAAAAAATGGCAATATGGTGACTCATAAAACATTGAAACATGATCAATGAGACCTTACTTTTTATTTATGAACATAGTTTTGTATTTAACATGTCAACATATTTGGATTTCTTATCTTCCTATAAAAAAAGGGTGGGACAAAAGAACATTGTTAGATTTTTAGGCTACACAAAATCAACTAACAACAAGAAATTAAAGGATTGTAGTAGGTAAAATACAAGTTAAATTTTATTTATTTGCTCTTACCTACTTTTGTGGTGGATCTCAAATGGACACTTACACTAATGCCTACCAATGGAAAAGCACAACCACAAATAAATGCAATGAAATTACCTATGATTTCTACCTTTCTAAATTTAATGATCAATTTTCAATTGAGCTTTGGAGTATCAAATTTAATCATTCTTCCTAGTTTGTGCACCTAATCATAGAGAAAATGACCAATTTTACAAAATAGCTACAACAACTTATGATACTTAAATTTATTTGTACGGATGATTTTTTCATGGTTGCATATTAAGGTGAGTAAAGGGTTTTTATACTCTCGAAGTAAGTGAATCACATGTTGACTTTTCAATTGAATATTTATCATTTTGACCAACTGCGTATGATGTATAATGTACATTATCAAATTGAATATTTATAATTTTGACCAACTACGTATACATTATCAAACTATGAGGTTTCTTTTACAAGAGTGCACCGCCAAAAAAAAATAATAAACAACTTTATATTGTAAAATTACTTGAAAGTTCAATGAAATAACCACAACAATTGTGATTAAGGGAGTAATTTTATTCATTATAATTTTGTATTCCAAGAACTCAGGTCACTAAATCTAGATAACAATAATAATAAGACCACAATCTTTAGTCTTTATTCACTTAATTATCAAAATACAGAACTTAAATCTGTGATAATGTTTCACTATAATGGCAATTGAGCCATATTATATTCTCTACTGAAAAGAATGCTTAGTGTAATTTATACAGTATACAATAACCAATTGCAAAGAACCTAAGCCTAACATATTGTTTCAGCTCTTTGAAAAATCTAGCTGATTGCTCAAAAATAACTCTATGGATTCCAATTTGGTAAATCCTACATATTTACATAATATGATTATATCTTAATTACTATGTATTACCCCTAAATTGCATGAACAAACCTTTCCTTGTGAAGTTTAGAAGCTGCTGTTAAGCTCGAAGAGCTCGATTCCTGAAACTTCTGCAGCATATTGATTAGCATTCGCGCTTTCCTGCTACCATGTGAGCTCCCATCAGTAGTGAGTGCATACAGTGAAGGCATGATAGCCGGTTCCTTAGCCAAAATCGCGACAACCTCATCCCCACCATTCGTGCACAATGATGCTAAGATTGACACACAATATTCTTTTCCTGCCCTTGAAATGGAGGATTTCAACAATCCCATGATCAAAGCCATAGCCGAGGTTTGTAGAATCGCGATACACCCATCAATCCTCTCAGCCAAACAAGCTAAAATAGCCAAAGAATCAGCTAAAAGGTCTGATCTCTCAATGGAAGAGATCAGATCAAGTAGTTCTGGTACAATTCCTGCTTCAAGTACTCTTTCATGATTTCTATGATACAAAAGAAGCCCGAAAATTGCAGCAATCGCGTTCTTCTTCCCACAAATTGTCCCATCTTTGAGAAGCTCAATAAGACCAGGAATAGCCTGTCTTGTTGAGCCAATCATTTTCCTGTACTTCTCCACAGAAGATAAGTAAAAAATGGTGGCTGCTGCAATCTGTCTCGATTCGAGCTTCATCCCTCTTCGAAGGACTGATATTATCAACGATAAACCACCTTCTTCGATGATCGATTTCTGCCCTTTTGAATGTTTTGCTAGCTTCAAGAGAGCAGCAATTGCATTCTCTTGTGTGCTAGGATCATCTGAAGTAAGAAGATCCAATAGAGGAGGAACATTCCCAACTTCAATCAAAATCGAACGATTAAATATACTCGATTTTGTTAGCAACCTTATCTCATAAGCAGCCTTATTCTTCTGCTCATCAGTTCCATAAGTCAGCCTCCCAGCAAGAAACCCAGCTAAAAATCTCACAGCCTCCCTCGAAGCCGGAGTCGGAGATACAACCGTTCTTGATGATTCCTTGCTTCTTCTACCTGATTTCGATATCGAAATCCCATTCTCCGAACAAAACTGTTGTATCAGCCTCTTGAGAGCAGAATTTGGTACTAATTCTGTACTTTCCAGCCTCTCCCCTGTCTTGGGACAGAGTAAATGCCCTGAATTCAACCATTTTTGAATTGATGCTCGATCATATGTTTGCCCGGTGGATATTGTAACAGGATCCATCATCAATTCCAATGAAATCGGGCATCGAAAATCTTCGGGATTCAAGCAATTAAGCATCTCTCCCGGTGATTTCACTTCAATTTCGACAATTATTTGCTCATCATTTTCATCCAATGAATCAAAAATTACTGCCCTGCAGTAGCACATCAATCCCAACAAATTACTAATCAAAGGAATTTCTCTTGCATCTTCTTCAATATTACCCATTTCGTCTTCCAAAAACTTGACCTCTTTGTTGCAATCTTCCCAATTATAAATCCCTAAATAATCGAGAATCCGCTTGATCAACCCTCTTTCGGGTTCGAATGCGTTCTCGAATTGGTTTAATATCAATATCACCCTCTCCATGGCACATTGATCATTCAGGCTTACATCGAGCTTTGATTTTTGTGCTTGTTTTCCAAGTAATTCGACTAATTCCTTCACTTCAGAACTGATTTGGAGTGAATTTAGATAGAGTATATCAAGAGCAGTAGCAATTGAGCTAATCAAAACCCGAAATTGATTAGCAATAAACTGTGATTTCATCAGAATAAAGAGTCTAGACCCTTCTCGAGTACAATCTTGTAGTAAAAATTGAATCTTTTGGAGTATAAAGTGAAGCTCTGAAAGGCATAAAATAAGGGATTTGGTGAAATTTGGTTGATATTCACGGATATCCTCGAAAAATATATGGAGGATTTCGACTTGTCGAATTACTTCCCGGGCAATTTTTTTCTGAGAGGGAAAAAATTTGGCTTTGAAATTTGTAACATCATTAGAGATAGTGATCAAAGAAGTGAGAAGAATCGATGGGGATATCGATTCACACGGCCTAACTGCGGGGAATTTAAGAACCCGACGATTATCGGGATCGATTTTACGGATCATTGGTGGAAATCGTGGATGGAAAATGAAGGGTGAAAGGGTAGGAGAAAGAAGAACAGAGTTGCTCTGTTTCTGTTTGTGCTACTAATATAGATAGGAATATGATAAGGCAAAAAAACTTTGGTAAAAAAAACATAACAGAAAAGAATCTAGTATTGGCGGTATTTTAGCTGTCAATTTTAGTGTTGGGTAAAAAAAATACAAAAAATTACGTAGGATATTTCGTTGGATACGTGGCAGCCGACAATGCGGCTTACTCGCTGAGAATATACTGACACGTGTGGGTGGACACGTGGGGAGGTGGGGTTGGCGGGGAGATTTAATTCTCGGATCACGTAAACGATGCCGTTTTACAAGGTAAATAATATTATGCTGATGTGGGTGGAATAGGGAGTAGGGACCACAAAAACCGACTATGACACGTGGAGGATTAAGAAGATGACAAGTAGCATGGGTGTTTCGTTGGAAGAAACCTCAATGAAAAATAAAAAATTGAAAAAAGGGACTAGGTGCATAAAATTGCATAATTGATGATGTTATGCAATAATGAACAAGAAAAGAGTCATGGGAAGAAGCTTAGAGGAAGCTTAGGTTATAAACTTGTGATTAAATAATTAATTGCGTAATCAGAATGTGTGGTAGTCTACTACTGGATGTCAAACAATTAGACTTATATGTTAAGTGTTCTAATGTTTGAATTTGGCCATACATGTTGCTATCATATCGTTTGAAGTTTTATTATATTTTTTCTATTTTCGAATACAAAGTACTTTGAATATGCAATGTTGTATATGGCTCGGCATACTTAGTTTGAATGTTAGTTCCTATCCATTCACTTGTTGTATTATTCGCTATATATCTTTATAGAAAACAGCCTGTATTATTGTTAATTGAATTGCAAATGTTGGTTACTTAATTTC